TGATCATGAGTGTGTAGAATATGACTTCAAGATCATATGGCTCAATGGTTCTGGCGACGGGTAAGTGTCACATTGTATACATGTTCGAATCTAATCTTCATCCTTACATATTTTCATTCAGACTAGTCCAGACTCGTCCACTATATAAGGCTCCAGCTGGTTGTATACTCGTCCCAGACGCCCTTCATTTTTCATTCATAAACCATTTCCGGACGGGCGACAGGGACACTCGTCGCGACTACTCTTATTAGATTTTATGACTAGTCGTCAATCAGAGTACTAGGACGCGTATGCATGACGGATAAAAACTCAGACTAGTCGTGGAAGAGTAGTTTTTGAGACAAAGACTAGACGGGACGGGTCGACTTGACTAGAAAAAAGACTAGTCATTTAACCAGTCTTTTGCTCACTTGGGATACATGAACATAATAATAAAGTTAATGAAATCTTATAGAACCTTTTCGAAATATCAAGACTAGAGAAAAATATTTGTTTCTTCTTTTCAGAACAAGAAATTTCATTTAAATTCGATCGGTAAAATCAGTAAAAGTATGTTATTAAGTAGTTAAAACGTTTGAAATTAGAAGCATACAACAGAAAGTATTCTACAATCGATATGATCAAAACTATAGAAGCTTAGAACGACTTATCAATAAAACTACCAATAAAAAAAAGAACAGTTAGCTATAAGTGAAAAATATAACAAAAAGAGTCTTTCATTTTAACAAAATATGTTTATCTAAAATGTACTTGTCAATTTTCTTTAAATAATCGAAATAAGGTTAGGGTACAAAATTGTAGAGTTAGGATACCAGAAAACCTTACCCAGCAGGATTCTATCAACAAATATTACTTTTTAAATCTCTCCATCAATTTCATTCTGGTTTTTTTTGCACGATCTGCCAAACAATTTATCAGAAAAGAGAGAATTTATTCTTCAGAGTTTTTAATAAAATTATTATATAACTGTAAAAAATGATGATTTTTCTGCTAATTTTATTTCGATTGAATAAAACTTTTCTGATCATAGAACAAAGATGAACAAGAAACTGATGAAAATCTTCTATTGATTTTAAAGATCTATAATTTTAATAAAAGCAAAAGTTTTCTTTTGTTGTCTCCTTTATTGAATCAGATATTCCAGTTCAAAATCCTGTTTTCTACATTTTCCCAAAAAGTAGAAAAATGCCCAGAATTTGTTTAGTTCTGTTCCATATAAGTTTCACTCTTCAAGTAAGGATGTACGCGAATGCATTATTATGACCCGCAAGAACACCTATACCCACACCCTTAATATTTACAACTTGACAGTTGACTATACATATTTGAATAGAAAAAATTTCCTGTCTGTTTAACAAACTGAAATGTTTCAATTAGTATAAAAAAAATAACAATATAACTGATTATGATTATGGCAAAGGCATATATATTAGAAGAAATTAAACTACTCGTTTATCTATGTCATCGATTACAATGTGTGCATCAAAGAATGATTTTCAAGCAACTATACAATATCTCTTATCGAACGATAATATCTATATTCGACAGTTATTCTTCTTATGTGTCAAAAATATATGTAAGAACATAGTTAGCATATTGAATAGTTTTATCGAACCAAGGAAAAGTTCAGATGATTATCTGGCAAACCAAATAAAACACTTGTCTTATGCCAGTATTTTTCTATGGTGGAAAGAATTGTTGTTAATCAAACATGTAATTTTCATGTATTTTTAAATAAACATCGATACATGTTAGACTTTCCACTTCAAAATATTTGCATCTTTCAAGCTGTCTCCGATGTATAGCGAGAAATATCAATGATAAAGGTGGAGTACCACAATAAATAATGTTTCACAATCATAATCATATTATGCATGAGAAATACGGAAATGAATATTGGTTTCTTTTTTCTTAAACTTCTGAATATATTTTGTTAGTACTATGAAGAACAGTGAAGATTCGTCTCCTTTTTTTTGTATAATTGTCTATGATTTATATCGAATGAATCTATTTTTATTTGACTCATTGGAAAAAATCTCATTGGGATTAGTAGCTGGTAAGACTTACATACATACTGAATCACCGTTTCTCATCACTTGCACATTAACATATATATGGTTGATGACTTAAAAATCTTCAACTATCAAGCAATTTTTATTTCGTCTACATAGAAAAACAATTCTATGAATTTAATTAACTTACGCGTAAAACATTTGTTAGAATCGCCATCTATGAAGATACATTACAGATGGAGAGTCTTTATTCTCTCCACTCATCTCTGTTTGTTTTTGTTTTTGATTATCGATGTTTTCTAGATTTTAATTTTTTGTTTATTTCAATTTTTTTCACCCTGTATTTCTCTTTTATTCTGTTCGTTTTATTTTCTTTTGTTTTTCAGAGATTATACATTATTTCAATATGGAATATCCAAAGCGATCACAAAGTAGCTATTTTAATGATTGTAATGACATTCAAAGAAAAAGATTAAACAGTAAGTTTTAATCGATATTTCCATATTATCTTATTTTTGTTTGTATAGTGATAACAACCGATTCAAACAAGTTAGTTCTCATAGAATATTTTTGAAAAAAGTCTCCTTTTCTTTTTCAGTTCATTGACGAAGTCTATAATTCATTTTGAAGATCTTTCAAATGAAATCATCTATGAAATATTTGGTTTTCTTGATTTTCGACATACATACGATGCATTCTCTAATCTTAATAAGCGTTTTCAAAATTTTCTAACAAATTTAACTCTTCCTATTAATATTGATATGCCATCCATGTCTAAATCAGATTTTCAAAAGTATTACAAACAAATTATTATACCTCATACTCATCGAATTAAATCAATCCATCTATCGAATCCATTTTCTATTGATGTATTTCTCACACACAACTGTATTATATCAAAATTAATTCGACTTAAAACTCTTATTTTATATGATATTCAATCAATTGATTTTCAAAATCTTTTCATTTATTTAATCTCTTTACCATATCTATCTTCATTGGTAATCTCTAATATAGATGAAGGAAGAGTTACAAAAAGTTTATACCATGAAATATTTCGTTTACCGATGTTAAAATATTGTAAAATATCGTTCAACAATTATCTTCTAATGGAATCACCATGAAATATTTCAATTGATGAATACAGTCCTATTGAACATCTTATTATCAATAATGAATTTGATATAGATAAACTAGCTGTTCTCTTGTCATATATTCCTCAACTTCGTCGTTTATCTTTCGGTAATTTATTTCAGTGTTCGAACGAACAAATAATTTCATGTCCAATAAAACGAAATCATTTGATATATGCATCTCTTAATATGAATAATATTAATTTTGATCAATTTGAAATATTAATCAAACATCTTTTTTTTCAACTTCAAGTATTATATATTACAGCTACAAATGATAAAACATATTTAGATCCAAATGGATGGGGAAAATTGATTTTATCTTAAATGCCATATTTACGTATTTTTGATATTCAATGGGAATATTTTCCACAGAAAAATGTTAACACAACTGATATTTTCATGATCGAATCATTTCGAACTCAGTTCTGGCTTGAACGACAATGGTTCTTCATATTTACTCTTGAATCAGCCAATGATGATTGTTATCGAGTTCTCTTTTCTACAAATCCATACAGGTATAATAGACAAATATTATTTATATAGCATATTTTCATATTATTTTTGTTTTGAAGAAGAAAATCTTATACATTATATGGGAATCTAGGCAAAGATATGACATCAAATTATGAGAAAAACAGTATAAATTCCGTTCATCATGTTTATATCAAACAAGAACAAATAATAGATGATGATTGTAGAAATTATTTTCCAAATGCTACTGAACTGACTCTCTCTTATAATAGTATTAATGTCGATAGAAATCCTTCTTCGATTATTCTCAATCATATTGTTTCATTGACACAACTTACTAAATTAAATATCAATGTTAAATCATTTCTCTTCACAACAATGATTGAACTATTATATTTAACATTGAATATTCATACTTTGAGTGTTGAAGATGTATGTTTTGATAAGAAAGAATTACTATCCATTCAACAAACTGAAAATTATTCATTCATCTTCGCTCTCAATTAGAATGTCTTAGAATGCGTCCAGTATATGATGACTTTGAAGGAAGTTTACGATATCTCTTATCAAAAAATAACAACAATACTCGATGTTTATTCTATATATGTCTCACGGATTTTTCTTCAGAAGAAATTGTAACAATAGACGCTGTTATGGAATCAAAACAAACTATTGATGATTATCAAGCAAAAAGAATAACACAAGATTTTTATGAAGATATCTATTTCTGGCGATGATAATTATTATTGATCAAACATAAAATTGTGAAATACTTTTCATTTATAAATAAATAAGAAAGCTACCGTTAATAGAACTTATTGTATATGGTTATTTCTTTATGAGAAAAGTTATTGATAGGATTAAAAAAAACAATAATTTATTATAAATAACGATATCCACTTAAATTAATTTTTGTTCATGATTTAAATTGGAACTAGTTTTTGGAAATAAAATCAATGAATACAGTTGAGTTGGATAAGTTTTTAAATTCAAACGGTTAGATGAAATTTAGGTAAAACATATCTTCTAAGATTTATGAGTGAAATTTATTTGATTCGAAAATTTTTTTAGAATTCCCGAGATTGGATCGAATTGAATCGAGAATTTCACACTGAAATAGCTGTCTTGTATTTTAATCGTCCAGTTTGGAGATCTCATCTTTTTTTCTGAAAAATTCGTACAGCAGCTATTAAAACAGAAATTGATGAATACAAGTGTTAACTTAGTTTACTTTGTAGAAGTAAAAAAGAATATTGAGAGCGCTTCTCTCTATCATACTCTTCAATATATATACGAAATGATCAATCAAATAGAACTTAATAGGTTTTGTATACTTTTCAAATAGTATGCACAAATTAATTGAACTCGTCAAAATCTGCATAGCTTAGGATATTGCAACAAATTCGGAAGAAGATCAACAACAGGTTTCTTTTGGGTATGTATTGAAGATTTGTTAGTTGTAACATATCATTCAAACAAATTAAATTCAGCAATATTATATTTATAGAATAGATATTATTCTATTAATTAATGAATGCGACAACATCAACACTTGAGGGTGTGGGGTGTGTTTAGAGCTATCCGTTACGCGTTTCGACCTTGCTTAAGGGTCTCATCAGACGGCTTTATTATTGTTGTTACGTTTCGATGATTGCGAGTAGGATCACAAACATGTTGTTTTAATCTTAATTCTGAATATTAGTATCATTAAGAAAATATGAAGAAATATGCGTGTGCGTTGATTCTGGTGGATTTGCAGTGGGAACGATGAGTCTTATGGTTCCTGGTAAAGGACTGTTTTGATGACTGTGTATTGGTATTTGTTCAATTGATTGATAGATCACAGATAAACCACTCAATGTATGCAGAAATCTGAGAATTACGAAAAATTGCATAAAATGAAATTGCTAAATGTTTCTTCGACCAATGTGTAGCGTCATGGATTGTGTGTTGTGAAAGGTAACCATGCCCGGTTTCGCCCTTATTTCTCGGACTCACCTGGTAGCTGTTTTTTTCGAAAGTATCCGAGTTATGCGGAAATGAGAATAATAACGTATTTGCTTTGCATTAGGATGTATCTTATTGGGTTATTCGTAAATGAATTCTGTTGAAGAACGTCATTGTCATTGGAGTCATACTGGGGTATCGAAATTATGTGAGAACCAATTATATGGGGAATGACTGATCGACACTTTGGAATTATTTATCACTGCATCTTTGGATAGGGTGGCGTGAGCTTGTCTGTGTCTAATAATTAGTTGTATATGAGTAAGAAGCTGCCAAACGAAATTTTTTTATTCACATGATATGGTGGTGCACTGGAAAGGTGAAGTTTGTGATCATTTTAGGATAATAGTTGCTGGAATGGAATCATATGCACATTCGTGACGATGTTGCTATAGAAGGAGCTATTTGGGCGATGATATTTTGTCCCTTGGCTGCAGATTCGTTCATTTTTACGATCTACTATTATATTTGATGTGTTATTTTCAATTGAGATATGTTTTATTTATTTTTAAATCACAGCATAAAATTCCGAATGACTTAAGTTAGTGGTTGGTTAGTTTTGCTTGAAGATTTTACGTTTGTTTACCAGTCTCATGTTGCGTTGTGGTCTCGTGGTTGATTCCCGCACGTCGATTAGATTTGATCATCTTGGACATCAGTTCTTGTTTTAAGTTGCGATTCAAACTAGTA